GGAGTCAAGTTAGATTTACGAGAACATTATAAGAAAGGTGCGCGAATTGTTTGGTGGGGATTTTCTTCGTGTACAACAACCGTTGAAGTTCTTGAAGACGAAGAATTTTTTGGAAAGAATGGAAGAAGAACTCTATTTGCTATTGAATGTGACACAGGAAAAGACATTCGTCAACATTCGTTCTATCCAAATGAAGAAGAAATACTTCTTCTTCCAGGTACTGAATTTGAAGTCATTTCATCAGCTGACATGGGCAATAGATTTAGCATGATTCAATTGAAAGAAGTCGTACCAAAATTTCCGCATATAGCTTCTGTTGCATCATCAATATCTCCAACGACCACTGGGGCTGCCGCCACTACCAAGCCAGTAGCAGCAGCAGCAGCGACAGAGCCAAAACCAACTCCTAAACTCAAACCTCCTGTACAACCAGTGGAGGTCTCCTATGCATGCAAGAATATTACTAATGCCGACATCCAACGAATAATCAAGAAAGCCATTGTACAACAACAATGCACAGAACTCAATTTATCCCATAATAAAATTACACATGAAGGTGCTGCAGTACTTGCCAAAGAATTGCGAAATAATACGGTAAGAAAGTTATATTATTTATCTAGTGACAAAAATACTCTGAACACATTATAATCTCATATACATGATTCATTCATGAATAACGTCTGTAATTATTTAACAGGCATTTCAATTGAAAAAAAGAAAAGAATAATTCTATATAGAATAATGAGACGAACAAATGGCAAAAGACACAATTTAAGAAAATATTCTATTCGCAAAATAGATGAAACATTTACTATTTGAAACGTAGACACTTTAAAAAACTTTATTCATTACCCAAAATTAATATTGAGTATTATTCAACGTTTTCATCATCATAATATATTGTAATATAAACGATTTAAAATAGACATTTTATAAAATAATATTCTACTTCTATGATGGAATACTACTTTATTGAAAATAACTAGTGTGATAATATCTTTAAACTAAATCAGCACTTTTATTCGAGTACTTTTTTATCTTCTTGAATCTACATATTATATTTTTTTGTGCTCCGATAAGTAATCTAGATTTGTTTCACATTTTCATAAATTGTCTCATGAAATGAATCGACTTTTTGAATTGTGCAGAATGAATATCTCTTTTTTACTCGCACATATAGATAAATGTTTTACTTAGTATTCAAATATCATGCATGGACACAAAGAGAAAAACTTCCGATGGTATATTGATAAATGACAAATATTATTTATTTTGTTATGATTGCATCAAGTAAAAACTATGAGTTTAAATAAATAAAATAGTAATCAAATATTACTTTTAGAGAATTTTTCATTTTATAAAAAACGTATGATTTCTTTTTTAAAGCAAAGTTCAGCATAATTACAGCGGGGGCCAATTGAAATTCCCCCTTTTGTTTTTGTTACTATACTTCTTTTATTTTTTAATGTACTATATATAGCGAGAAAGCCCGGAACACGCTGCATCTTTTAGCATATTTACGTGGAACATTACATGCAGTTTAAAATGTAAAAAATATATTAGAAAAAAAAGTCACATTTTTTTACTACGGGGTGTCTATAATGTTGTAACATATTTTATTTCG